AACAAGACACTAACAGCCTTTCTAGCTTTTTCCAAAGCCTTACTGAGTTCTTGTTTATCGTCTTTTTCCTTCAATGACACAAGCGCAACTTGGTCGGCAAGACCTTCTAATCCATACAATGTTCTAACTTCGCCAAACTTTCCTTTTGTTTTTGATAGCTTTAACTGGTTCTGTATCGCTTCCTTAGTTGCGCTAGGGATGTCGTTCGCTGACGCCTCGCTCAACGATCCATCTTTGTATACACCCAGGACAAGACCATCAAAGTTGGAGAAACGCGTAGTCGTTATGCTGAGGGCGCGAGCATGAAAAATGTGCTGGCGAGGTAATTTTACGTGTCGCAAGAGTGTGGTGCATTGGATTCGAAACATTATACGTAAAGGATCCGACGTAGTAATTTTGAGATCTGATAATAAATAAAGTACAGTCAACCCTCTCTAAATGCACACTCTCTACACCCTCCGTAAATGCATTGCACGGTTTTTTCCATTTCCCACCATATGTACTCTAAATGCACTCCCGTGATTTTCATGTGATTTGTATTATGTGTTACATGGAGAGCGAATGACATCATTTTAATGATTGGATCCAATTACACCACAACCGTTGCTTGTCGGTTTTTCAGACTGAGAATTGTAATCATTAAGCAGCTTTTTTCTGAATCTTTGTCTTAAGTTCAGTAACAGCAGACAAAGAATTACCTGGAAGTGCAAAGTATTACTTTGTTGAAGCTAAATTCATCTTTGTCCATCATTAATTATAGTAATAGATGCTTAAGAATCTGTAATGTTGATGGTGACATTGATGATGGTGATATTGATGATAGTGTTGAGCTACCAATAGTTTATGCCAATGATGCTGCAAATGGTGTTAGTTTATTTCTACAGCAACAAAATTCTAAAGAGTTGCTAAAACATGTGAGAGTGCTTGAACTTTACATTAGTTTAAAGTCAGTGAAGCACGATAGAATAAACATGCTAAATATACATCAAATTCACGTGTAACCAATAAAATTCTGACCCTCTGTAAATGTTCCATTTAGAGAGATGCGTGAGAAAATTTCGAACCATCATGTGATCCGACGCGTGTTAAAAGAAGCAAAATTTCGACAGTCATTGATTTATAAGCCCCAATGACAAAGCCATATGATTTAGTCGCTGCTCAGAAGTATGTGCTGTGGCTATCTTCCTTTTCAGCTGATACTGGACGTCGTCCTTATTAAGAATGCTTTTCACTTGAAAACACGTTAACAGACTAGTCGAGACTTTCCGCGTCAATAAACCGCAAATTGTGCAATGGCATGAAGAAATCTCGAGTCATGCCGAGCATCAAAACGTTGCGCGTTTAACCTATGATCTCAAAGTGGCAAAAGTAAGAAAAATGATTCAAGTCACTAAAGATAATCCGGAATTAACTTATTCTGTTGTTTTTACAGGAAAACTTTTCGCAACAACGGTTTAATCGGATCGAGTTTGAAACGCAGGTTAATTTTTACAAGAATATTGTGAATCTAGTAAAGACAGAACTACTTTCGAAACGGGTCAAGACAGATTCATTAGCACAAGAAGCCACACATGATCAAAAAGCAGAAACCGAGTTGGGTACGCTCATTCATTGTTTACAAGAATTGATTTTCTGATGAGGGACATTGACCAAAAACATGTTCGCTCAACTACAGAGCAAGTCAATGCAGAAAAAAAGCAATATTTGAAGACAATGAAGGAAGCTATTGCACAATTAGAAGGAGAAATATTGTGTATGACTGCACCTTTTGCAGAAGGTAAATTATGTTTAGTTAAAAGTTATCTTTATTGTGTCATTAAATAGCGGTCATTCGGTTTATTGTTTTTATAGACTATGACGCTTTGTCGGCGAATATTGCAAAGATTACACAACTAATTGACGATATTACACAGATGGTTAGTTGTACTTGTATGTTTCTGTATCTAGTTTCAAATATACTCATTGGCAATAACAATTAAGGAGAGCGAGCGGGACAAGTTGGACGAAGATGAGCGAACTAAAAAGGTGAGTTATTATTTTTATCAATGGATAGATTATCATTGTCTTGACATCAATTACTTTAGAAATACACACCTGCCGAAGCCACGCGAATAATCGATGAGCAAGTTGAAAAAATACAAGAAATATACGAAGATACACTGCGAGGACAGTCCGATATTTCAGAATTACACATTGAGCATGACAGATTGCAGCAAGAAGAAGCGAGCGTGACCTCAGAGTTGGAGGCAGCGGGAAAGCTTGCGGCTGAGGCTAAGAGGATTATGAAAAACAATGATATCACAATCGAGAGACGATGTCAAAGGTAAGGTGAGACACGGGGAATTATTGACACATTCGACTTTTGTTCATATGGATATTGTTTTCTGTACAGGCTGAAAGAGTACACAGAATTCTACTGCAGCGCAATAGGATTTCCGGTTCCGGAAATGCACAGTTGAATAATTGGTGATTGTTTAATAAGTTATAAATTTATTGAATGTATGCTTTAATGTGCACGATTGAGTAAATTGCCTGCTGATTTTCTAACGAGTTCTCAATTCGATTGCTAAAGCATCTGAAGCTGAAGTTTTTGGTGCGGGTCTGTTGGTGTTCTCCGATTCAAACGTCTGAACTTGTCGACGCATCTATTCTTTAAGATAAAAAAGTTAGATGAGATTCTATTTATTAGAGCGATTGCAACACATTGTCATGTTCGGTCATTTAGAAAAGCGTTTATATCCGAGAGCTGTCCTCAATTAACAGCATCTTAACTGTAGATTAATTC